TTTAGCGTTATACTTAATAATGGTATAGTAATTTTAGGATTCTGTTAAGGAAACTAAAATTTGGCAATCTTTCTAGTCATACTAAAACAAGGGTGTTGCAGAGAGCTGGGGAGTGATCAACGCGGCCTAGATCCTTTCTAGGTGCAGCGCACCATTATACCAAAGTCAGTCACAAGGGATAAGAGTCGTCAGGCGGGCGGCAGTTTGTTGAACGGTCAATTAGCACAATACGGACGAGCATGACGCTAGAAGCTCGAAAAAGGTGTTTGATTGTGCGTGCGTGTGCGTGTGTGTGCTGAGGGGATAGGAGAGGGGGGGGGATGGTCAACAAGGTCATAGGAAAGGGCCAACGACAGGAGGCCTACAGAGCTTCCATAAATATCTCATCTTTGCGCGGCTATCACATCGGAGTGCAGGCAGCCGTGACGCTCGACAACGCTGTGCAACTCTCAGTATAGTGCAGCATCGGCACTATTGTTACGCCGCATCATTGACGTACTCGGCAGACGTACGCAACGCAGGCATCGGAACCAACGCGGCGTGAGTGACAGGTTCCGGAGGGGCGCACAAGGTTGCAGAGAACTCTTCGGAGCCGATGGTGTAACTACGTGTGCGTACGGGAGCATCATTGTGTGTGTGTGTGTGTGTGTAGGTGTAGGTGTGCCTATGTGTGTTGGAGGAGGAGGGGGGGGGGCCGTTTCCGCCCCGCTGGGCACGCAGTCGGCAAGGCAAGGAGCAAACACACACCCGAGCCCCGACTAGGTAAATACAGAATACCATCGTTTTGCATACACGCCGATGTTGTGGGCACGATAGTCTGCGCGTGCGTGACTGCAGATATATTTTTAGAAGTTTTTTTTTCCCTACCATCTTTGTTGGTATTCCCTTATAGTGGGGGTTTAATAGTGTGCCCGGGTTGATTCCCTCTCTGCCTCCTCTGCTTTTCATCTCCTGCGCGGTTTCGAAAATTTGATATCTAAGTACATAACGCTGTCACGTGACGATAAAATTACCATCAATAGGGGCACTCCTGCAGGACGGCGTGCAACCATACAGTGTGCGTGTCATCGTGTGTTTGTTTTAGTGTTTGTGCGTGTATATGTGGGCCGAGTGTGGCGGTGCTGGTAATGCCGGACATTGATTTTGCGACGGCAGCGACCATCGCCACTTTGTATCGGTGTGATTGTGATATAACCGAATCGGCATAGTGCACAACCTGAAGGGGATATGAATTGCGACGTGTTTTTGACATAAGACTAAAATACCCTAGCATACATATAATGTTAAAAATAGTTGTTGGAAAACAAGTATTTTTGAGTTCCCACAGCTGTAGAGAAACAACGAAAGATGTCAATATACAACAAATGCTGTTGGGAAACAACGTTCTTGAACAGCCTCGTTGTAACAAAGCAGACTGTTGTAATAAAACAACGCGAGTTATGCTATAAAAATTGACAACATATTTGCTCGTAATGTTCATTATTTTTTAACACTCTGCTGTCTGAGAAGACACCGAGAGCGAATGCAGCGTTCCGTTGCGTTTACTCACCTTGGCTCGACACATGTAGGGCTCCATGCACGCGGGAGAGTGGCACGTGGCGTCCGTCTGCAAAACACAAATGGCGGTGTTAGTTTCGGTGCAAGTCAATGCCAGGGATACTAAAAGAATAGAAAATTGAAATTCCCTGACATTTTCCTGAATATCCCTGACAACAAGATTAGCAGTCAGAATGGAATAAAGGGGACTTTTGCGAACACCTCGCTGAGAACCCGAAATAACGCTGCAAGCCGTTTTACCCTGACACAGCGTTCAATTCTCTGACCTATTCCTAACACATTTTCGTCTCCCTGACATTTTCCTAAATTCCCTGACTTGAAGCAGCCCTGAATGCGTTTTTGGTGTACATCATTGGATGTCTCTTCATGTAACGTTCAGAGAGCAGAATATAGAATACAGTAGGTACCGGTTTACAGGATATACATGAATGACAAATAGACAAATGTAAAAAGAAAGAAAAAACAAAAACAAAAAAAAATTGCTAATCATTGGTGCGTAGGTAAACTGTTCCTGAACTGAAGAGAGCGAGAGCGAGAGAGAGAGAGAGAGAGAGAGAGAGAGAGAGAGAGAGAGAGAGAGAGAGAGACGAGGGAAATGCGGGCAGGACAACGTGCAGGTAGGTAAAGAGGTGGCAGCCGGGCAGGGGCATTTCGCTGGCCGCCCGCGCCAGAAAGCCATCAGACCATGATGCCCTATGGCCCCGCCTGCCTTTCCGTCTGTCGTCCCGGACGGGCTGGGCGGGGCGTGCCGAGAGCTGGTGAGGGCGCGAGAGCAGCAGGTGCAATGTTCGTGACTGTTAATCGACCCCACCTACTCCCACCCACTGCGCCCCGAGGGCCAAGAGGGAGGAAGAGACAGAGGATTTTTCGAAAAAAAAAATCAGCATCCCCTTTCCTGGTTTCCACGTCATGTCTCCCGGTCGGGTCTGACCGTGCGGCGTCAATCGTACGGCAACAGACAACTCTTTCCCAGACACACTCAGGTATCGGCAGCACATGTCCTCTCGCAGTATTGACTCGGCCGTCGCCGCCGGCGCCAGCGCCTTCGCGTTGCTACATTATTCACTCTCCGCCGTATTTCCGCTGCTAAAGGTCGCTCGCCGCGGCTTCGGTTCGGGGCAGTTCGGGGCGGTGGTCGGCCCGGGCGCGGCATCTCCGCGCCACGGGCGGCACCAGGGTAGCGCGGCCTCAATTATAGAACGGCGTGTGTCACGCAGCGCGTCACGCGGCGTCACGCTACCGGCCATCAATTAATTGGGATCGAACTCTTCGTCCGGCCCCGGCCAGCCGGCCGGCCGCCAGCCCAGCCGTCACTGCCGTTCCACCCGGCAGATCGACAGGCACACGCGACGACGCGACGCTAATGGCAACACATCTGCATGGCGACGCCTCGCCGGCCGCCGCGGTCAAACATTCAGACGGGCACCGGGCTCCAAGATAGGATCGCGACACAGTTTAGTAGTTAGGGACTCTCTACAGGGACTTTTCCCAGTCCATGAAAAGATGCATTGTTTGATGAGCGTATCTTGGCGAAATGCAACTGTGTATGGAATATCCCGCGAATGGCGAGTTTGCCTCTCTCTATCCTCTCTCTCACGGACGAAACGAAATTTTGTCTACAAAGAAGATAAAAATTCGTCACATAAGTTAAAATAGCCAGACAGTTCAAACTGCAATTTCGTTTTACCGTGTGTCAGGGCTACGACAACAAAGTAGGATAGCGTACCATCGGAGCCATTCACGTATTGTTGTGTTGTAGCCCGTGCATTCGATACAGTTAGATTTGCAGAGGGGATGCTAAAGATATGTTGTGTTTAATTTAATTCATTAGAAAAATAAACAAAAGAGCCGTAAATGTGATAAAAGTTAGTAATTTTGCAGCCTTACGACAAGAGAACTGCTTCGCTGGAACTAGAACTCTGCGGAAGTGATCAAGGAAGCGAGGTAAGAAGATGGGAAGGGCGAGTCTTCAAATATAAATACAAGCAACATAAAACCAAACAACTGTGTTCATTCACTTTCAACCAAAAATGTATGGGGACTATTCTCGGATAGCGAAATGGCCTTATAAATGTGCGAACATGAGTCGCGTGGTCCCGGGCGAGGCGGCAGGGCGGCCTGCTTCGCCCACCATGCCCGCCTTCATTGTGCATGAGATGGGCTGGCGGCGAAGGGGAGGCCCCGCCCCCGCCTACCTAGGCTGCCTAGGTATTCATCGGATCGTCCCTTAACACCATTAGCGAAGGGCCCCATGCCCCCGCGCCTGCACGGCCAAGCCGCCGCGCCCTGCCGCCGCGCCCCACGGAAGTGCAACGCCTTCACGGCGCGTGTAGTTTCTTAGCGCTTGTACGTGCGGAACACTGCAGGAGAGGAGGGGGGAGGGTGGCGTGAGCGGGTGTGAGACCCCTCTCGACCCGCGGAAGGGGCAGGCACGAAAGAGACATAAAGAGCACCGCTAGAGGCAACGGCCACGTCCTATATGTTTTGCGAAGGTGTTTTACTCAGTTCTTGAAAGGAAAAAGCCCACAGCTTTGAAGAAGAAACCTAATACTGTATTTTGCTGTCTACGTCTACACTCATCAAAGCCTGGGTGATCACCCCTGCACTCTCAGATCCCTTAACGAAGTTTTTGTATCTTGCTAGCAACGCTACGGTAACAACAAACACATCTGTTTGCTGTTATTTAGGGGACATCCTAGTGTAGCGGCTCAAAAACAAGGGTGTTTTTGGGATTCAATTGGTGGGAAATGATAACTCTTATAGAACATCGGTAAAGGCCATTTAGTAGAGGGTTCTTCTAACTTTAAAACAGCGAAACGTAAGTCCTGATATTTTCATTGTAGCCGGAGAAAAGTGGTGCAGAAGAGGCCCCTCCGCGCATGTCACATAGTCATGGGCGCAAGCGTCCAGGCCGACTCCCGACTCAGTCGTCTGAAACAGTCCGGCCCAAGTTTTTTAGACTCGGAAGGAACCCGGCTATGGTTGGAACTAGAACTTTTCTGGTGAAATGATTTTTAGTATTTTTCCGAGTAAGGTAAACTTTTGATACTAAAATTTAGGGAAAATTGTCAAAGTTATGATTTTTTTTCTGTAGGAAGGATTACTAAATATAATGAACAATTACAAACACGCACACGGTAAAACCAAGCCCTGAGATCTCCAGGAGTTTTCCTCATTTTCCAGGGGTATTTGGAAGAGTCTCAGGAAACGTCTGGGAAACCCATCAGGAGCGTCCTGCGATTCACAGGAAGATGTCCGGGGGGACTAATTCACCTGGGAATCCCAGGGCGCGGTTCTACCGTGCAATGATTTCCCAGTATCGTCTCGCCCGTCGCAGCCGATTAGAAGCCTTTGCTCAAACGCTGCTTCGTAGAACGCCGCTTGTTCTACAACGCGCTGTGTGCTGCTGGCAGAGCGACGGCGAGGGCTGGCGGCGCCAGTGGTATGCAGCCGACCGCAGCCCGGTGCGGTCAGGGGCCACGGCCAGCGGCAGGGCGGGCGCCACTGTCGATGACATCTCATCACAGGGTGGAAATGGAAAAGGCGAGGAAGAGATAGCGCAGCGCACAGCAGAGACAGACAGCCAGAGAGAGAGAGAGAGAGAGAGAGAGAGAGAGACCAGAGGCAGCCATCAAGTGGAAGTATAGACATAAAAATGTTGTAGGTGAGCGGATGAGCGGGTCAGCGGGGGCGTGGCGTGGCAGGGCGAGGCGGGGGAGAGGTAGGGCGTGCTCAGGCACCCTGTGTGTGTGTGTGGGGGGGGGGGGGGGCAGCGTCAGCTCTACGGCCAGCCTGCTTGTTGTAAAACCAGCTGTAATCACAGGAGCGATCGCGGACATTGCGTATGCCGCGCAGGAAACTGGAGCGGGAACGAGCTGGAGGGACAGAGGAGAGGGGGAGTAAAGAGAAGGGGGAGGGGAGGGGGGGCAAGGAAGTGCAGGAGAGGCGAGGAGACGGGGAAGTAAAGAAGCGGGTCGAGGAGGAAAAGGGGGCTGCAGAGAGCGGGGGTTTCAGGGGAAGGGGCTGCTAGATGTGATAGGAGGGGTGGGTGGGGGGCGTGGACCTTGGGCGCGCGGGACTGGTTCAAGAAGTGTAACAAAGGAGGGCGCGCAGGTGAGGAGGGGGAGAGTGAAGGGGGAGAGGTGGGAGAGAAAAGAAAGAGGCGCGAGGAGCGGCAAGGGCGTAAACATGCAGCAGCCGTAATTGACAGCGCGACGCTGTCCCTCGCCTTGTGTGCCGGCGGGGGCCACACATTCACGCCGCCAGCGCGTCGTCACTCCCCCCCCCCCCCTACCCTCCCCTGTGCCGCGGTGCCATCTCATGCTAAACGCCTTCCACACTCCGCACAGGATGGCGGCTGCAAACTTGGCCACAATTGCACAGCCCGGCGCGCGCGCGCATCCAGGTCGACACAAGCACAAGACGCGATGCCGCCGACGACGGCGGTTCCCGTTCCCACCGCCCCCCCTTCACTTCCGGGTCTCGCCCCCTCCTCATTTGCATAGTCATCCCCCCCCCCCACACACTCCTCCCGCATGACGCCCCCCTCTTGCTGCCGCCTTTCGCCTTTTTGAGCGCGCCGCCCCCACACGTTTCCGCCCCCGCCCCCCGGCGGCAAGCAAGGATTCGCACACGGGGAGCGGCGGTGCGGCGACGACGTCGACGCAGAGCCAAAAAAGTTTGGCGCATAGTTGGGGAGCATCCAATTGAGTCGTAAAGTCTTTCGGCGCCGCGGAATAAACACGGAGAACGGTCGTTACATCGTGCGAGTAAAACTACTGCCCTTTACTTTGTTTCTTAAAGAGCGCGGTGAGCGCGGCGATGGGGAGGGAAAGGGGGCGCGGGCAGCCACACTGCAGAACCACACTTGTGTCACTGCCACAGTCATTCACTTTACAGCTCTTGTTTGGTTCGTTCAAATCCAGCCCTAGTTCGACAGTAACATTTGTTGACGTTTCAGACAATGTTATTCCTCTTCTTTCGCAAGCGAGCCATTAGCTCGCACGACAACTCCACGGAAAAATCTTTGCTATGAGCAAAAGCCTTCAT